GTATTTAATTAATTTAATAATTGATGTGAGTTTGTTAATATATAATTGTCTATAAAATCAAGCATGAAAATTTTTGTTAGGTAAACACTATATCAGTACATGAAGAAAAGACAGGCTCTAAGATATAATGATTATGACATCATAAAGTTGTTTGAAATATGTTTAATGCAGCTTGAATTTCATGTACTCAAAATACTTGAAGTTTGGGACTTGAGTTTTCGATTTGGGAATATTTGCATAGACTTTAGCAAGGTATATCTGCCATATAAACTGCCTTTAATTTGTACCAAATTAAATTTTATATCAAATATTGTGGAATATTCTATTTGTGCATGTCAGTGTATACCCATGTGTATCTGGGTTGTACATACCTGTGTGTGAGTATGAAGCCCCTCTGAGGTGTTAGTGCTGGCATCCAGACTCTGTTCTGTGATTGCACTGTTAACAGCAAACTGTTGCTAACCCATGAACCATCTCTCAGCCCCAACTTTTGAGGTCTATAGAATTCTTCTTCGGTAAAAACTTAGTTCTGAGTAATGTTCTCTGTAGGCGTATCTTCTTTCATCGTTTCATTTGGCTCTTCCTTTATGCAAATCCATCTTAGATGGTAAATCATAGTAGACAGTGCTCCGTCAAGGAAGAAAACAAAGCAGCGAGGGAGAGAGAGAAAGTAGGGTTGGGAATGTTTGGTAGCCAGAGCTGCTCATTTCATTAATTACTTCAATGGGAAGCCTCAGATACAAACTTTTAGCATTTTAAAAATGAGGCAGGGCCTGGAGAGATGGTTAAGAGCACCTATTGCTCTTCCAGAGGTCCTGAGTTCAATTCCCAGCAACCATATGGTGGCTCACAACCATCTGTAATCAGATCTGATGCCCTCTTCTGGTGTGTCTGAAGACAGCAACAGTGTATTCATATACATAAAATAAATAAATCTTAAAAAAAAGTTTTTTAAAATGAGGTAGCTGTTTTAGGGTATGAACTGTATATATTGTTTCTTTATGATGAAATAATATCCATTGAGATTTCAGAAGAATATAATAGGGTCAGATTACAAATGTGTTACATACATGGCTTTGATTCCTAAGAGAAAATCTTACAAGAATTTCTCAGTTTGCTATGTTTACCTACAACTTCCATGATTCCAGTGTAAGACTGGAACTTTGCATTTGTGAATCAGAACCTTCTTTCCACTTGTCTCATGCCAGGGAGCTCTGTGTTTTTATGCATTTCTCTGTAGAGAGCTCTCTTCATTAGTTGGGTTCCTTCTAAACTTGACAGCCAATGAAACTGCAGAGTATGGTGCATCTGTTTAGTGAGAACTCGGGTTTGCTGGGCTCTTTTCCTGAGAAAAGAAGCTGTGAGCTGATACAGTACTGACACGTTATAGTCTCTGTGAGGACTCAAGTTGGCTGGGTCTTTTTTCTGGGAATGTGAGCTGGTACAGTACTGACATATTATAGTCTCTGGAGAATGTCTCTTCTCATAACACCAGCTTTCATTCAATCTGGATCAACTGTGTGAGTGACAAAAGGGTCTCTCTCTGGACCAGTGAATCACATGAGGATGCTCATGTGCCAGGGACTCTGGAACACATCAGTTGCCAGACTACATTCAGGGCCTTGCCCACCTCCAATACATATTTTGTACTTTTCTTGGGCCACATCATGGATTACTCTAGTAAATGGAGTGATTTCAGCTGACATTTGGAACTTCTGCCACATCACCCAGTAGTGTGGTACCCAAACTTGGTCTTTTCCAGCAGAGCCAGGCAAGGTCATATAACATTAATTTCAGTAGCTGGAACATTTGACCATGAAGTTCATCATTGCCGTATTTGTCTAAATCACTAAAGATCTGCTTACTGATGAAAATATCTGTGAAGAGCCTGCTGATCTTTGCTAAAGTGTTGCTTTTCAAAGCACAGATGATGCCATTTGTATCTTCTAATCCTGGTCATAGATTTACTCTCTGTGAAAGTATTTTTAAAGAATATCCAGTTCATGGTTTACCTGGTTCTGTTTATAGAACATTTAGACCTGTCCTTATCCATCACATCAGCAGTGTCTCCCAGTCAGTCATAGCTCAAATTCAGAGTGCAAAGAGCAAGCTATTTGCTGGTTAAGTTCTGTAGCCAAAAATAGTCAGTATGACTCCATGATGTGAACATTGCTGTTAAACAGAAGGTGGTCTCACTATTAGAAGCATTTGATTGACTCTTACTCCGGTTTGGTCTGCCTATGAGCCCATTTCTTCCCATTCATTCTCTTCTGTGTTTATGGGAAATATCCCCTTCCTTTTTCAACATCCCCGATAGATAAAGGAATCTAAAAATAAGGTACCGACTGTATAAAACCTCTCAAGTGTGAAGTCCTTTAAAGTAGTCTGGTCTTTGGAGATGCGTCTTCTCTGTTTTCAACAGCATGCCTCTGTCACTTGTAAGTAACCAGAGTCTAATCTGGTGAGTGTCATAGACTAGAATGGGTTTCAGTTTTTCCCTCTGTGTAGCATAGGAATCATCTCACAGTCATGGGTTTTGGCAAATGTTCTGTGACCCACATTAGTGACCTCTGGGGTTCATTACTGACTCTCTGTAATGCTGGGGGAGCAGCAAATCAGTGGGATGATTTGTTCATAACTGATAGGCTTCAACTGTAGAATTTTCATTTTCTCAGAAATGTCCTTTCTGAAAATGGGAACAGTAGTTTATCAGATAGTAAAGGTGTCTTCACTTGAGTCATCTGCATATGTCTATCTCTGCTGACACTCATGTCACCTGCATATTGCTTATGTAGTTACACTTTAGTTTTCAATTGTATTATTTTATGTATATAGATGTGTTTGCCTGCATGTATGCCTATGCACCACATGCATGCAGTGCCCACAGGCTAGAAGAGGGCACCGGCTCCCCTGGAACTAGAGTTACAGTGGTCATGAGCTGCCATGTGGATGCCAGGAGTCAAACCCAGATCTTCCAGAAAAGCAGGCAGCACTTTTAACCACTCATTTGAGCTCTCTCATCAGCCTCTATTTTCATTTTTTATTGTATTACACATCACAAAAATGGCTCTTTATGTCAAAATGATTCCTGACTGACAAAATCTGAAGAGGAAAAAATAAAACAAGAATCAAACATGGTAGCATATGCCTGTAATTTATGCTTCTAATGGGTATAAGACAGGAAGAAGGACCATGTGTTTGAGCCCAGCCTGGTCAACACAGTGAAACCACATTATTAACAATTCACTATTAATTAATTAATTAATTACCATAACTCAGAATTACGTTGTAAAATAACAGGTTATATTAAAATTGTGTAGAATGTGATTCTCTGTGCTAGGACATAAGAGACTTTACATAAGCAAAGGTGTAGAAACGTCAATGACTGAAATCTTGAATACATACTTGGATTGAATAGCTCATCCATTTGCTGCCAGTAGTTTGTGATCTGAGCAATGAATGAAAGTTTTCCAGTAATGTCCAGCCCTCTCTGGTAGGCTGAGTAAATGTCCTAGAACTTTTGTAAAACAATCACTACCACATTGAAGAATGTGATCACTGTAAGTAAGACAGAACCAGGTTGTGTTCAGTAGAAATCAAATATGTGAAAGAGACCACAGAGTTACTGGCAAATAGTTCAACCAAGACAAAAAACCAAAAAAACAAAACAAAAAAAACCAAAAAAACAAAACCAGAAGTTCTTCAGCAGTGTTTCTTAGTAGGCCTACTCATCAGACATGTTGAAGTGTCAATTACTCTGGTGTGGTCATTAGATTTATAGCTGAGTGAATCCACACATGTGCTGGGTGTTCGCCCATACAGCTCTTATTACATGTGTGTAGACATAAAGGAACATGTTGTCCAAGTCTGATTTTGGTCAATGAAACTGACGTGATGAGGGTATTAATTTTGTGTGTGTGTGTGTGTGTGTGTGTGTGTGTGTGTGTGTGTGCCGGTTGTAGACTGCAAAAGCTGTTTTTAAATCAGAGATGGTGAACTACCTTTATTCCCTCCTCCCATCTCTCCCCCTCCATCCTTCCACACACACACACCTCTCCTTTTGTCATTCTGCAAGGATGCTGCTGCCACGTACATTAGTGAGAAGATCCCTGATGCCCACTTACTCTTCTCCATCTTCCATGGAACTAGCAGTCAGCAACACATCTCTGACCTTGATTTGGTTTTGGACAAGATACTGAGAATAAGGATGATCATGAGATTATAGCTGAAAATTATATCTTTTTCATGCACAGAAGGAAGTGTGTTTTACACTGTGATAGATTTTGAGGGGGGAAAGTATTCAAGTGTCCTAGAAAGTGATATCAGTAAAATTACTGTATTTTCCTTAAATATGAGCTGTGTATTCACAGTAAGGCCAGACTTTCTGAACTCAAACTGTGTTTCCAGTTTATCATGCCCTCTTAGATGTCAGGGAGAATTTGCAGTGACATGCTTTTGACATGTTTCACAGTGTGTACACTGCATCCAGTTATGAAAATACTTGCAGAGCAAATGTGTCTAATGAGTGTGTACTGAGTCTGTTTGTTCCTGTTCCTCAGATTAAGACTCCAGCTTTTCAGACAGGCAAACTTGTACTGCTAATCCCAGCACTCAGAATGCAGAGGCATGAAGATCTCTGTGAGTTCACTGTCAGCCTGGAATACATAGTGAGCTCCAGGACAGGCAGAGCTATGTAAAGAGAACCTGTCTCAAAAAAAAAACTAAAGCAATTAAAAACAAAAACAAAAGACTCCAGTCATTCTGTGTCTGAATATCTGGGTGTGACAAGCTCGGCTTGCTAGGGCTTGCTGGCAGCTGTCCACGGTCTTCAGGAGAAATTGCTCTATAAGATTGGATCCAGCCCTCATGTCTCCAGGGTTATCTGGCATGTCACCCCGTGCATATTTTGTCCACTGGTGATCTTCCCATTTGATAGAAGTAAGTGGAATGAAATGAAGAAGAAAGGCAGTAATTAGAAGTGAAACTATCTTACAGTTCAC